GGGGCGGCGGGGACAGGGTGGAGGGGTCCCGAAGGCTTCACGATACCCCCCACCCTGTCCCCTTCGCTGGCAGCCACCCCCCGCCGCTTTCCCCAGCCTGGATCGGGCTCCTGGGAGTCTGATCTCAGCTAGGGAAGGCAGCGCGGGGCAGCGGGGACAGGGTGGAGGGGTCTCGAAGGCTTCCAGGCTTTTGCCTGGAAGCCTTCGGGATCCCCACCCACCCTGTCCCTGCCAGTTTTTAGTCCATTGGAACGCAATAACCAGGTTTTAATGCGTTTCAATGGGCTTTTTAATTTCGCGCTACGATGTTTCCATATAGCGACGTTAATCCTGGAACGGATTAACGTCGCTATACGGGGCACCACTGTATCTATATAACTGCACCTTCACTTATTTTTGATTGCAAAAACTCAACACATATTGAAGACACACCAGAAAGCCACTGATAGCTTTATTTTAAGAAAGATCTTCTGTGAAATTGTGGACCTCTTGGCCAAGTTTATCCAAAGACTGGAAGGAAAGAATCCTTGTATGTATATATTTTGACCATCACTATGAAATGAAATATATGTTCATGGGAGAAGGAGTCCTTCCTCCTCAGATAAATCAGATATGCCAGTAGCAACAGAACCAACACAAAAGTGCACATTTTTCATGAAAATGTAATTGGCCATAAGCTGGGTTTGCATCATACAGTGCAATTACAGAAATCTACTCACAAGTAGTCTCAGAGACTTAGCTAGGCTACCTGCACTATCTGCAAAGTGAGACAAATGTCCTCCAAGTGAGGATTTGGAAATAGAGACACAAGTTAAACCTGCAGTAGGCACTTGGTAAGCAATATTTTTGTCCTATCTGGCACTAAATCACAGAACGTGATGCAGGACTTTGTATCTATCTTTTAGTATCAAAAATATGAACTTGTTACAGATAATTACTTAGGGAAGACTTCTGGCTAAACCAGTAAAGACTGTAAAGCCTCACTATGCTTTTATTAATTAAAGGATTCTTCCACAGTAGAAAGGCTTCTACACCTTAATTTATGCACATCATTTAAAAATATGTTAAGTTGGTGGACCACTGGAACTAGACATCTGAGCAACTGCATGAAATGTATTGCTCAATTTCAACATTTCCTCTAGTTTCTCCTCAATAGGAAAGGCCTTTGAAAGCACTATGAACAGTTTCAGTGTACACTAACCTGTCAAGTTTGGGATTATCTTGTCTTTCCCTTTGTTGTTCATAACGCAATTTCAAACCTTTGAATGTCTGCACATAATCTACATCTTCTAGAGCCTTCCAGTAATTCTCAATTACATGAGCTGTTAAGGATTTTATGTCTTCCTAGAAAATAAAGTTATTTTTCCCAATTAAAAATGTTGAAAAATAAAAGGACAGAACAGCCATAAAGGTTTGCTCTCCAAGGCATATGGGAATCATATTAGTTTGTTCCGTAATCAGTCTTCCAGTCATAGAATTAAGTATGAAGTTAAACAGCCAATACTATAGAAAATGCAGTAAACGGAAGTATGAAGCAAATCGAAACAAATATTTTAAGAAGCATATTTCTATCATTCCTTTATGTGGTACAGTCATTATGAAGTCATATCAATAAAGAAGATTGAACAGACTCCAGAAGTACTGTTCATGACAATTTTTTTTCTCCAAAGAAGACTGAAAAAACTTTTTAAAATTCTGAAACCCAACGTAGAGCAAGCCCGCTTTTACAAAAACATTCTTACAAGTAGCTAATCAGAAGTAAGCTATAATGTGTTCAATGGAGCTTACTTCCAGATATAAGTGAAGTCTTGTGGGGTTTTAAGATTTAGCCTGTAAATTGCCCAGAGTAGTGCTTGCACTAGTAGTGCAGTATAGAAATAAAAAAATAAATAAGACTACCAAAAAAGTCTTGTAATGTCACCACATTTCTTCCATAAATTGCAGTTTACAATTTTACAGTTCATGGAAGAATGGAGAGAGCAAGGATTTTGTGTACATGTGGAAAAGATGGCGAATGGTGTACTGTTAGAGTCAATTCACAGCTAACTCAAATCTAATCCTGAGTAGGATGGCCAAACAATCAGAAGAACATGTTCATTTTACAATTTGCTCAAAACATGTATGCTTCAGAATCACTGTTCTGGTTTTGAATTACTACAATTACATTTTCTATTGCTAATATTTTTGATCGTCTGCACAAAGTTCCAGAATGCATTTCTATCATCATCAAGGAAGAGGTACTCACCACTCTAATGAACTCAAACATTTCTATAATAGCAGAGTTCATCAGATTATAGCGGGAGCCATTGTTGAGAAATGCTTTGACCACTGGTTCAAACAAAAAACTCTTCATTATGTAACGGTTGTAGAATTCATCCTTCAGTCCAATTATCTTTCTTTTAAAACGCAAAGCACCTGAAGAAACATTTTTGTTTTAAAATTATTTTAACATTGTTTTTAAAAACAAACTCGCTCAATATTTCACTTTATAAAAGGAGAACATAAAGTACCATGTTTCCCCAAAAATAAGACAGGGTCTTATATTAATTTTTGCTCCAAAAAATGCATTAGGGCTTATTTTCAGGGGATATTTTATTTTTTTCATGTACAACCATCTACATTTATTCAAATACAGTGATGTCATCTTCTGGTTGCTGTACAATGGTGGAGGGTGGGCTTTCACTTAACTAGGGCTTATTTTTGGGGTAGGGCTTATATAACGAGCATCCTGAAAAATCATACTAGGGGGCTTATTTTCAGGTTAGGTCTTATTTTCAGGGAAACAGGGTAGCAAATCAAGATTCTTAAATGATCTCACAACTCATTTACACTATGAAGTAGCAAATAACAGTAATAATAATGACACACACACACACAATACACCCTCCAACTGGACTTTTATTTTCTGCTCCCCATCAGTTCACAAAATTTTCTCTACAATATTCACAAATGATTCCCCATTCCCAGCAACACAACTTGAGGTGTTACTTAACAAAGCAATATTGTGGCACTATTGTAAAGACCCACCTATAACAAAATATAAACATGTCTTCTAAAACAGCAGTCCCCTAACCTTTTTAGCTTCGCGGACTGGTTGGGGAAGGCCCTGCATTTGTGCGCATGCGTGAAGGAGCGTGCGCTCTCTCGTGCGCTCATGCACATGTGCAAAGGAACAGGGGGCGCTCATGTGGGTGTGCACTAGCTTGTGCGCATGAATAAAGGGTAGGTCAGTGCTTGTGCAGGCACTCATGCACAGGCGCAAACGGGCTGTGCAGGGGAGAGTGCGTGTAGGGATGGGTAGGTCTGTCTCCGCAGCCCAGTCCGTCTCAGGCCACAGACCAGTACCGGGCCATGGACCGGGGATTGGGGACCTCTGTTCTAAAATACGTATTTCTATTTACAGTGGGGTCTCAACTTACGAACTTAATCCGTATTGGAAGGTGGTTCGTAGGTTGAAAAGTTCATAGGTCGAATCTACATTTCCCATAGGAATGCATTGAAAACCATTTAATCTGTATCTGCTCTTTTCTGTCCATAGAAACTAATGGGAAGCTGCTATTTCGCCTTCTGCCACTGGAGGAGGATATTTTGTTCTTTTTTTCCCCCTTAGGTTCAGGAAACCAGGAGGAAGGAAGGGAACAGTTTGCAAAGCACTTTAGAAATCATTTTTTCAACGAAGCCAATTTTAAATCATGTTTTAAAGCATGTTTTGCTGATTTTTTCAGCACAAAGACACACAGGAAGGCTTTTTAGGTGCTGAGCAAACCTCCCCAAGCCTCTTCAGAGCCAGCTGATCAGCTGATAGGTGGGGAGAGGAGAGGGCAGGAAGGGGGGAAAGCACTAAATGGCTGCCAGGCTCCCTTCTGGTCTGGGCTTTTAGCTGTTTCCTGCTCTTTTTCCTGCTGTTTGGGGGCTACCAAGGCCTGGTAAGTGACTTTCTTTTATTTATTTTTAAGTTTCTGACCTTTTTTCCCCCTCCAGAAGCCTCTAAGGGGAGGGGGGCACTTTTTCCTGTTCGTAACTCGAGGGAAGTTCGTATGTCGAGTCCTTATTTCCCTATAGGGCGGATTCGTAAGTTGAACTGTTCGCAAGTAGGGTCATTCGTAAGTCGAGACCCCACTGTATGTAGATTTCCAATTATCTCAAAGGAACTATATAATCCAATTATAGAGTACAACTGTTTTTCTCTTCTAAGGTAAAGAGAGACAGGAAAAAAAATACTGAAAAGAAATGAAAATATTTTTTCAATCCTGGTTTGTCATAAGCTGCTAGAATAGGAATTAATGCAGTCAAAATAAGGATGCTGATGAGTCAACAACTAATTCTTTTTCTTGGCAATCTTAACATTAAAAATGAAACTGTAATACTTACATAGTGCCAAGAAAGCATGCTTGGAGGCCATCAGAACTAGCACTCTTCGAAGTATATCCTTGTTAATAATGTAGTTCTTTATATGGTATGTATGATGTTCTACACAGAAAGTTAGTAACTCTAATATCAAGGCCAATAGTTGGGCTGTCTGAAAGTCATCTAAAAATAAAATAAAAGCAATATATTTGTGTATATACATATTTTGGTTACTTAACTTTCTTTTTTGTTAAGCACAATTTTTTCCAAAGGCCAAAAAAAAGGCGCGGGGGGGGAGGAGATTCAAATCTGATGTTTATGTTACTATGCTTAATATGATCCAAAATTTTGAAATTGCTTGCCTTGGAAACTTCGAACAAATCAAACCGATATATAAAACAATATGCTCAGTACATTTAATAACAAGTTGAATAATATACTCCTAAATGTTTTTAAAATACTGCTATGTTATATATTCATTTATTGTTACATTTTGTGTTATTCTTTTATATGCTCCTGGAAAAGGAACACAGTACACAATCAAATACCACAGGCACTTTGAGAACTGTCTCTTTTTGGTTTTTTGGTCTTTATTTAGAAAATGTTTTCCCCTTGTTTGGCATCTTTACTTCTCATCTACTGCTCTGATCACATTCAGTCACATGACGGATCAGTGTAAAGAATAGGACCGTAGAGATACAGGAGTGATTGTAAGACTAATAATTTTCTTTAGACTAGTCTCTAGGGATGGGATTTTCAAATTTCAAGGATCTTCACCTCTAGAATTCACCAGGAATCCATCAAGCAGAATTCTGGGAGTGACAGGCAAGAAAAAGAAAGGTTCCCTGAATGACAAGTGCCTCACTACCTGTCTGAACATCTTCTGCTAAGTTCGATCACTCATCTGACTTGGTTCTCAAAGACCTCACACTGGTGGGTGTTACCGTCAGGCACCACCACCACCACCATTATGATGATGATGATGCCACATTTCTCATAAAAAGGAACCCAAAACGGCTCACAACGTAAAAATTCACACAATTAAGAACAGGTGCGTATAGGGAGATATGGTCCTTTATATAGCCTGGACCAGGAGATTGTGTCCACCACACTGGCCATTTTCCCATTCCAGAGATCAGCCAGAACTTCAACAGGAGTGCCTGCTGAGGCAACAGGAAACTCCCCAAGAGCCATCAGAAAACCACTTGGATCCATCAGTGTCCTGGGATCCTAATACCATCCTAATAGGTCCTCCACCCCTGCAGGGATTAAGTGTTCCAGTAGGTCTAAATCTCACCAGATCGTGAACTGTCCATGACAGCAGAACTATAGAAAGCTCCTCCACACCCAGATCATCACCATCCTGCCCAGCATGAAAAACAAGCTCCAGAGTGTGCCCTGCTATATGTGTGTAGCTAGAAACCACTTGGGTTGTCACGGAGGACATGAAGTCCTGAGCTGCTCCTAATAAGTTGGTCTCAGTGTGGACACTGAAGTCCCCCAGTACTGTCAGCCTAGAGCATTGGTTGTCAACCCCCAGTCCGCAACCCAGTGCCAGTCCGTGGCCTGAGCCGCACTCGGCCTCGGAGACAGACCTCCCGCCCCCCTGCACGGACTCCCCTCCCCATAGCTGCTTTGCGCGTGCATGTGCCAGCACCGGCATGAGCACTCCCCCACCCCTTCATGCAGGCGCCTGAGTGCAGGGGTGTGCAGGCGCTCCGGCGCATGCGCAAAAGGGTGAGGGAATGCTCACACTGGCGGTTGCACGTGTTCCCCCACCGCTTCACGCATGTGCCCAAGAGCGCAGGGGGGTGCCCCACCTTCCTCAGAGACTCAGACGGTCCATGGTCCCAAAAAGGTTGGGTACCACTGGCCTAGAGAACTCTAACATCACCTCCGATACCAAATCAGTCAGCTCAGGAAGGGAGATTGTTGAGCAGCGGGGTGGACGGTACACCAACAAAATCCCTATTCTGTGCTGGGCACTCACCTTTAAATATACACACTTGAACCCAGAGAACTGTGGGACAAGGCACCTGATGAGGGAGATGGAATCACAACAGACTACTGCAACTCTACCTCCCTGACCCCCAGGTCTGGCCTGCTGCTGCATGGAGAACCCAGGTGGGCAAAGCTGGGAAAGACCAACTCCCCCGGCTTCATCCAGCCAGGTCTCTGCAATACAGGCCAGGTCAGCATGCTCATCCAGGATCAGGTCCTGGATGGGTAAAGTTTTCACTTTTACTGCCTGGCATACAGAAGCAGCATTTTTAATCCAGGGGGACTATTGCCACGGCTATCCAGGCTGTCTGAATTGGGATACAATTTGGGGGTGACTAAGATCCTGAAGCTGAGGCTCCAACTTTGGCCATCTCACGAGAAGAGAAGAATCCCTGGAAAAGACCCTGATGTTTGAAAAGTGTGAAGGCAAGAGGAGAAGGGGACGACAGAGGACGAGATGGTTGGACAGTGTCATCGAAGCTACCAACATGAATTTGACCCAACTCTGGGAAGCAGGGGAAGACGAGGGGCCTGGCGTGCTCTGGTCCATGGGGTTATGAAGAGTCGGACATGACTTAATGACTAAACAACAAGAACAAAAGGATCCTGTTCCCTCCCCCTCTCCTACAATGATTCCCTTGTCTCCTCTCCCCATATCTCCCTCTACCCAATGTAGTGCCAATGGCAGCTTCCTGCTCCCCCTTATTGGCCACCTTATTTGAAAGACACAGTAGTGACTGCTAGATGGGCGGTATATACATTGAGCCTTGTGGCGCAGTGGTTAAACTCCTGTACTGCAGCCAAAACTGTGCTCACAACCCGGGGTTCAATCCCAGGTAGTGGCTCAAGGTTGACTCAGCCTTCTATCCTTCCGAGGTCGGTAAAATGAGTACCCAGCTCGCTGGGGGGCAATGTGTAGCCTGCATAATTAACTTGTAAACCGCCCAGAGTGCTTGAAGCGCTATGGGGCAGTATATAAGCAGCACGCTTTGTTTTGCTTTTTGCTTTATGAATGAATATTGTCCACTACCATTTCACTCCATTTCGTGTGTTTCAGGTTTGGAGGAGGGAGCCCTGTTGTTCACTGACAGTATAGGAAGGCTGCTTGAGAATGGCTGCAATGCTGCATTAAGACCTATACAGGAAGCCTCTAATGGAACTACTTTACCCATGCAGCACTGCAGAGACCCTTGGGTAGCCTTGCTATACTACCATTGAGCAGCAGCGCTCCATTCTCTTTCTTCAAACCTGAAATATGGAAAGGAGTGGAATGGTAGCTGGGAAAACCTCTTTTGCTTGTTATTTGTTATCTTCCACTCTCAGACTTCTGCTTGGAGGATTCTAGATGAATTCTGGAGGTGAAGGTCCTCGAAATATGAAAATCCCATCCTTACTGAGCTTACAGCTTTTTATCATGAATGCATTCTACAAAAGTTAACTACCTGCTAAATGCTAACGGAGGACAACACTGTATACATATTTCTCTTCTATGGTTGCCAGGTTTTCCTTACTGAAATGCTTAAAGAAACTGAAATTATTTTATCATTTAAAATCCTGGTTAACTCCCATCTTATGGGGAACAGTTTGGAGCTACAAATGCAAAATATTTGAACACTTATGCAGTGAAGATAAACCCCTCAGCCTATCCCTGGTTATAAAATCTTACTTATCAATGCAACAGAGCAATATACTCCACTGTAGCCCATACCACAAATATCCCACCCATCAGTTCTGCAGTTATGAAATGCAGCAAGGGGCTCCCCAAGTCCTACCTTTGCTAGGCTTCTCCTCCGTAGTATTGGCCAATAAAGGTGCAGTGAGAACATGCATACAATGTTTATAAAAGAACCCCAAGAATTCTGTCTTTTCTGTTTTCTGTGGAATAAAAATGCATTCAAATATAAAGCATATTATTATTATTATT